GTCGGTCTGGCGAGCGAACGCGTCCTATAGCGAAAAACCTCTCCAAAAAAAAAAATAAAATAAAATAAAAAATAGGATGTGTGTATATGTGTGTGTGAGAGAGATTGATTCATATTTCAAAGCAAGTGGGCCTAATATGTAACATCAAGGACTCAAATTTCATCCTGTATGTAATAGAGTCACGGAAGACTTTTAAGCAGGATAATATGACGGAGGATTTTGTTGAAGTAAGGGCACTTTGGCAGCAATAGAGAGTGCAGATTGTGGGGTGTCAGGTGGGAAGATGAGTAAGATGGCCCAGATGTTAGTTAGTTAGGTAATGCCAGTGAAACTAAGAGAAAATTTTTTCTTTTTTTTGGTAGAGGTTTTTTCCTTAGGGTGTGTGTGCTTGCCTGAGAGACAAAGAGAGAGAGGGAAATTAAGAAATCACTTCTCTCAGGGGCATTGGCCACACCACAATCCCTTCTTTAATCTCCTCCCAGGATCTTAGGAATGCACCCACATGTGCCTGGTATGATTTTTAAGTCACCAGGTTTGGGATTCTAACCCTGGTTGGCCATGTCGGAGTCCACTGACATAACTGCTATGCCATCTGCTGGTCCCCTATGAGAAAACTTTTAAATAAGACATGTCTTTGTTATTATCTAGAGGTGAAAGTGAGGAAGAGGAAAAAGAAAAATGGAATATTACTTTTAGGTTTCTAACTTGAGGCCAGATGATGGTGGTAAATCTATATAAAATGAGGGCAAGAGACATCAGGGACTAGGAGACAGGGGTGTGTCCTCAGAGGAAATAGTGTTTTTACAGATTTGTAGAGGATAATTGAAATTTGGAAGTCACTAATGGAAAGAAAGCTAGCCAAGAAAGAGCCAGTTATTGAGCAGTGTACTAATCTCAGGAGAGGTAATGTGCGCATGACTTCACGTGAAAACAATCTGCACTGTCGAGTGAATTTGTAGTGCCATTCATCTGCACTGCTGTAGTTTTCTGTTCTAAACAACATTCAACCATTTGGGTATATTGGTAGAGATAGGGATACAGGACTGTTCTAGAAAGGCAAGTTGAAACATCAAGTGCATTGAGAATATGCGAGCATGAGGGAGATGAGAGTTCTGAGAAAGAAAAGTTCTAAGGCCTCCACCGTAACATCTAGGATGGATAAAAAACGTAGAAGAAAGTGTAGTCTTCAACAGGATGAAGGTGTTAAAAACTATAGGAGCTAAGGAAGTTGGATTGCAACTTAAGGAAAATCAGAGCAATAAAGGTGAAAGAATAGAAAGTACTGAGACATTCTAGATTCAAGCTGTCCAGTACAGTAGTCACTAGCCACATGTGGCTATTTACAAATTAAAATTTAAAAATTATGTTCCTCAGTCACACTAGCCATATTTCAGGGGCTTAGCAGTCACACATGGCTACCCACCTGGTCATAGGACAGATAAAACATTTTCATCATGTAAATAGATCCACTGCAGAGTATGAGGCTCTAGATAATGTTAAGTTCCAGGGAATGTCTAGGAGTGCGAGTTGCTAAAGATATTATAGACAAAAGCCCTCAGGAGAGAGGCAATCAAAGAATGAAGAAGGTAGGATATTGAATAGGTTTTCCACACAGATAAGGATTTCAGCCTGGAAAATGACAAGAGTTCTGATGAAGAAGGTATGATCTAGACACTAAGGTCTTCAGTGAATGTAAAGGGTGTGACCAACAGATGAACACCTAAACTTTTGTCTAACTGTGCTTTCTGGTAGTATATCCTAAAGTGTTCATGTCTCATCATAGTGTCCCTTGTCCCTAAAACATGCTTGACTGATCAGTCTAGGCCCTACTCTACTCACAATGATGTCCTAGATCCAACTTAAATGTCTCCTTGTCTAAAAACCAACACTTCTGGAATTATAACAAGTTGCTTCTGCCAACCTAATAATGCAGGATAGAAAAGAAACCTATTAACTCTATATGGCCAGGTCAATTACATAGCTGAAAATAATGCATCCATGGGTACAGTTACTGCTTTAGATGAAGATGTGGCAAAGATGATCTGGACTATGACATATAATAAAGCAATCTTTTACTGAAGAACACAGGTAGTTTGATTTGTGTTTGTCTGTTTAATTTATTAAATATATTTGTTATAATCTAGGACTTACATTAAAATTCTTATGATAAATTCAAGAGGGATGTCCATCATGTAGAAATGTGGTGGTACTCTCAGTTATGTTGGCACTTCATGACTAAAGATACCACACAGAGCAGTTTTTAGTGGCATCGGAGTTAGATGTCACAATCATATCCCCCCTTCCTGTTACCTGAGAGCTGAGAACTATGAGGTATAAACCTGCAGTAATCATTCCCTACGAACATCATTTACAGAATCAGCACAAGCCTTCCAGGCTCCTCATCGCTTTGCTCCTTACTGCAGTGCTCATCATTAATACCAGAGTGGGGAAAGGTTTACCATTTTGAAAATGGTACGTCTTATTAAAAAGTGAATTTTTCTCTATGTAACCTAATAAATATGAACTAATAAAGGCCCAGTCCCTCTTTTTTTCCTTTCCCTCTGAATTTGGTCCATTCTTGTTAATATCTGCAATTTTATTCCCACTCTTTCTGAAGAACTAGGAAAAAGCTGGGAGCTATGGTTCTGTTTCTTATTTTTCAATAGGCTATGCATTTTTAGTGTCTGTTGATTCTGCTAGGTTGTATCATTATTTGTGTGTAATAGGCTCTTCCACAGCAATATGCAGTGGAAAATTCCTTCTGACAAGCCATAGCAAGCTTAATTGAGTCATGACGTACACCATTAAAAAGCTTCCAATGAAGGAAACGGTCCTTTTCCTAAGGTAGTGTAAGCTTTCCCTGGGTTTCAACATAACTATATGGTCTCATGTGACTAAGAAAATTACTTTCTTCATTTGAGAATAGCTAGAGAAAGACATGGAGTTAATATGTGAGTTAGCCCATTAAATTTTAAGGAGTGCTTCATCAGGATTTCTTCATCCTTAGATTTAGTGAAACCTATTTTTTTTAAAATTTAGTATGAGTTACAGATCAATTTTTAAATGTTTTGTTTAGTCTATTGTTTAATCATTCTTTAATGAAAATACCAAATCAATTTTTTAAATTATTTCATTTTCAATGCCACATAATAAGCAATATTAATAGAAACTACTGTCAAGATAGTATTTCCAATTTTTTTCCCATTGACTTTGCAGTTTGAAGTCATTCCAAATTCTGATATTACTTTTAATGTTTTCAGGACAGATGCTGTTAGAGTTTTCAGTGCAAACAGTAGATTATCAACATACATTAGTTAATTTGTGAACCTCCATCTGAATGTTCTTCAGATGCCCATGGGATCTGGGTGATGTTACAACGCCAATGTTAGCCTGAAGAATAATGTCAGTAATGGGCATCATCCTGACTTCCCTCCCCAGTGCAGCAGTGAGGCAGGGAAA